GGACTTTGAACCTATCAACAGTAGATAACGTCCCATCCCTGATCTTATTTGTCGTCCCGTGTCTTCTAGTACCACTTCATTATTACTTGTATGTTGTTGTATGTTGTTGGCAGGACACAAGAACTCGTGTCTCTGGTTGCTCATAACCCAGTGACCCAGACCTCAGAACTTCACTACGATATCCTCAACGTGACACAGAGAAACATGCACTCAGAAAGAAATACGCGTTACTAATGTCAGCCATTGAACCTGCGAATATTTGCCTATTTATATGTAGCGGACCCTGTGGCTTGAGCGTTGCGAATATGTGTCGTAATTCCGAGATGCCGGGATCGATTCTAGCTGTGGATGCTTTAGCAGCCGACCGACTTGCCTTGGTTTCGACAGTGGTACTGAGAGCCGACACTTCGGTCACAGAAGTACATGCTGAAGGTCAACATTGCATTGTGAAATCACAAACAGCCAAAAATGCCAGGGACTGGTTTTACAAAGTTCTATAAAGGACATGTAACTTACTTTAAAACGCACACATACAAACTGCACACACACACACACACACACACACACACACACACACACACACATATATATATATATATATATATATATATATATATATATATATATATATGTGTGTGTGTGTGTGTGTATATATGTCGGCTCTTTGGCTAAGTCAATGCGAACGCTTCATAATACCAGGATGCCGGGTTCGATCAAAACTGGGGCCATGCGCTTTGCGTTGGTTTCGACAGTGGTATCAAGAAAGCGACCGTCCAGAAAGCAATGGCAAACTACTGGACGTAATTTGCCTAGAAAAACCACACAGCAGCTAGGGGTTGTTGGGGTTGGTTCTGCAACGTCCTGTAAAGTATACACAACTAAACCTTTATATATAGGGGAACCTGACCTCGTTCATAATTTTTTTTTTGAGGAGGGGGGCAGGGGGATGGCTCAGCCCCTTCCCTTCTCCTAGACAATTTGCAAAAGTAGCTAACTAGTTCACCTGGCCATGTATACGCGTTCTTGAACCAAGTATTTGTTTATACATTTCATATAATTTTCAAATATGTTATCGTATTTATTTGTCATTCAGTGAGTAACAGTAGCAGCAGCAGCAATAGTAGTAGTAACAAAACACTACACGCATTCACTCTCGCACACACACACTTCAGCCATGAACGCATACTTTAAAGACTGTACCCACCACTACTGGGGCTGCGTAGTACAAGAGGAGTTCGTGAGCTTGAGGGTTTCAGGTCGAGAGGTCACTGCAGTCACCGTATCCTTTCATCATCCCCATCGCCCCGTTTACACTGGCTGGGTATCGTTACGTCACCAGTTGCTGTTGACTGACTGGTCAGGTCAGTCTACGTTTGACGGTGAATTAATCAAGTAACAGAAAGTGTATTGATCCGCACTCATAGAGAGAAGTAGAAAGATAGAAGAACACAATAGACAACATAAAAATCGAAAGCTATAGTTACCGTGCCGGGATTAAACCTGTCACCTCCAGATACCTCGCCATGGATACAAGTGCACTAAGAACATGGTCAACTAGGCACACCCCCCCCCCCACCCCCCCAAAAAAAAGGTGTCCTTTTGGCCATGTCTATCGTACAGCTTTAAATCCACAACTATGGAATACGGACAGAATTCATTTCAAACCATTGAAATGGCACCATAGGTTACAGAAATTTATATAAACGAAGCATATGGCAAATAACAATCACAGCAACAATTTACAAACACAGTAGACCTTAATGCTTTGTCTAGAATACACAAGCTTTTAAGAAAGGTGTTTGATTGGTAGCCTTTGACGGTCTGATGCGTTGGACTTCACGGTTGCATGCCTAAGACCTGTCCTTCTCCTCTTCCCCTCTACTGAGCCCGGTAGTATTGTTTCTGAGGGGTCTTTAGATCTTATAACATGTCCGTACCATTGCATTTTCCGAGGATCCGCAATAGAGCAAACAGCACTTTAAGAACTGTTCAAAAATTGTCATAATTTCACACCGCCATGAAGAGATGAAAGCAAGTTATGTTTTGACTTTTTCAGTTATACAAGATTATCAATGTGGTAACCATTATCATCTAAACACTTATTATTACTAAGAGGTACATTTACACTCCTAAATCAAAGCCGAAAGTCTAAGCTTAGGCGCATCCGGCATACGGGAAGAGCACCCATATTTTTACAGACCAATCAACCCTTGGTGGGTAATGTGGTCAACATTACACCGGCCGCCTTAACTTTCCCAGGACATACATCCTGGTGTCCATTTTAGGCTGGCTCGACCTGCGACGCCCTATACCATGATAAAAATCCACGCAGCCAGTAGTGGGTTTCGATCATGCTTCGTTGGAATTACGAGTCGGACTTGCAACGCCTAAGCCACGGACACCGCACTTTGACTTCTAAGGAACCCCCTAATTAGTCTACTCTTACGACATGCTTGTTAGCAATGCAGAAGGTATGTTATTGTTTTCCATATAATAGGACCACGGAAGCACACAAAAGTTGACTGGATACGAGTGAAAGAGTAAAGATTGACCATATAATTTGGACAAGGTACTTAGTAGGAGAAAGATTCTTGACATGTATAATAAATAAATAATTGTTAGATTTCTTTTTCAGGTTTTCATCAATCTTTAAAATGATTTGTTTGTGTGTAAAATAAATATTTATGTGGTGCATACAGTGTGCTTATGGAAGGCCTCCAGGGAGTCTTGCTAGTCACACTCGCCATCGTCAAGGGCTGTGAGTCCCGTGCGTCCTCAAGGCACAACAATATAACACTATCGCCCGAAAAGACGAAAAAGTGTCAACTTACTGTATCAAGACAACCACAGGAAGCTGCGCCAATCAGAACCGTGCGACCAACGCCTTCTCTAATAAAAACTGTGGACACAGAGGGACTCCATTGTTGCACAAGAACGGGAATCCCCGTTGACCTGTTTGGCCTATAAATAGAGTAGACCGTGCAGGCGACCAAGGCACAACGGACACAGAGCTTGAAATCGCCCATGCAAATGATGGATAGATGTTTTCTTTCTTCATCTTCTTCGCGTTTACCGGCTGTAAACTCCAGTGGGAAGTTCTGGTTGTTCGTCCACTTTTGGACTGCAGTCAGGTTTTAGAATCTGAGTGTTGCGTGTGCATTCGTTTAACAGATCTACTCATTTGTGTGTGGACTTGCATCTCAGGCAAATGCACTCTGACTTCCAAGAAAGCTCCCATTTAGTCAACTCTTACGACATGCTTTTGGGTAGGCTGTGGGTCTGTTTTTGTTTGCCCTATAACAGGACCCCGGAACCCACACGGGGAGATGGATGGATGGTCTATAGGAAATCGCGAATACCAGCATCTACGTGCCACACAGCAAGGCTCACACTTGATACCTCTTCAAAAGCTGATGCTGAAAGGCAGAACTTCTTTTTCTTTGTTCACCGGCTGTAAGCTCTGGCCGAAAGTTTTGGCTGTTCCTCCATTGGGACTCTGGCTTTGTGCTAGGGCATGGGTTTTGCGTGTACATCTGTTTTACTAGTTTATTTGTGTGCACTTGATTGTTCTTTGTCGCTCGGGCAGATGCACTCCTTCTTCAAAGGAAACATCAATTTAGTCGACATCTACGGCATGCTTGTTGAGGAGGCAGTAGATCTGTTCTTGTTTTCCCCGCAATGAGACCCCGGAGCCCACTCGTGGAGAAAGGCAGAACAAGTCTAAATAAATGAAAGAATATGGTGATTTTGGTGGCAGAATCTGGTGCTGGGAAAAGGGTTAAGACTGAAGTGTTGTGTTTAATGGTAGACCCTATAACTCACAGGCAGAAAGAATGCATGATTTATTTAAGACACAAATGATCAATGCAATATATGTTTTGATAGTTGAAAACTAAAGTAAGTTAAAGACCCTTTTTTATGCCCTTATGCGTACTGTTCATATACGGCTGAAACTATATTTTATAGACTGATTTACACTTGGTATATGATATGGTCAGCATCACGTCAGTTGCCTTCACTTCCCATAACTTTTACATGATATGCATTTAAGGCTAGGTCATTAAAAAAAGTAAAGCACTGTTCGGATTTGAACCCACGACCTTCGGATACGCAGGCGAGCGTCTAACCGCTACTCCACAGTGGCTCTAGTTCAGACACTTCTTCTTCTTCTTTCTTTTGTCAAAATCTGCTTGTGCCGCTAGGCGTCGCAGTCTATCAGATGGTCGGCAACCGAGCCAGGGCGCGCTCAGTCGCTTCATATGCCGTGATGTTATGAAGTCTCAAGTTGTCCGTGACTCCTTCAATCCATCTTCTTCTTGGTCTTCCCCTGCCTCTTGGTGTTTCGATTTTCATGTTGTATGCTCTTGATGCTGGCATCGTTGGTTCCATTCTCATTACGTGACCAAAATACTGTTCAGACACTTACTACGGATAATTTGTTTATGTGCACTGATCCGAACTGAAACCCATTTGTTCACTGCTGTCAGGTTCTGGCACCTCGACTGTTGTCTAGATTCTTATCAAAATATAAACAAACCATGCTAATATTAGGACAATACAACAGCCTTGATACCACGACCTACCCGCGTGAAGCAATCGCTACATCTGGTCTTAGTCTCCATACATGGAATCCTACGGCCCAATTCTTCGATATAAGAATGAAAACACGGCAAGTCCTTCTCCAACCCGGCATCGATCTCAACACACGAAACAACAAAGTGTGCATAACCACCAATTGCACAAGTACCGGTGAAAATATGTAACTTGCGTTAGATTTCAGTGACCGAATACTCGAAAAAAGTTCATGTAGATAATCTAATCTGATATATTGTGTACGCAGGCACCCTGATAACTTTCTCAGTTGTGTAAACTTATCTAACCTGAGATAGTGTGTGTGCACTTATATAACTGGCAACATTGTGTAGCTAGTTTAGATTGTGTGAGTCCATTTCTACAGCTGTTTTAAACTAACAATTTATTTTCTTAAACCGAACAAAATTATGAAGTTTAAAGTCATCATATTGGTTTTGTCTTCTGTGTTCGGTGGAATAACTGCCACTAAATATTCTGGAAGTGAAAGCAAAAATGATTACATACAAAACTTGCAAGATTTTGGGACGACAAGTCATATATTTAGAAACTCAGAACACGGTCATGCATTTAGAGAACTAAAAGCTGTTTTATCACGCGAACCATTTCTTGGAATAAATAAAGTTGTAGGAGCATCTTCTTTGAGAAGTTTACGCGGTTATGATCAAAATATCCGTGGTAATGTTCATCTCAGAGAAAAGCGAGCAGTTGCAGAGAGCAATGAAACAACAGATGGGACAACATTCAGCTCATCATCTGCACCTTTAGCCAGCTCTCTTGAAGTCATACAAGCCGAAGACAACACGACCACTGTCTCGAGCAGCACACCGTCTGTAGCCACGAGTGTCCAGCCACCGTTGACAACAACCGGAGGTCAACCTTCGCGATGTGAAACTCAAACAACACAGATATTCACTGGTCTGACTAGCGGAGAACAATGGGCTCTACAGTGTAAGTCAGTGTTTCTGAAACATTTCTTAGTCGCGGCGCCTTTTTCAATTACAATTTTTCCACGGCGTCCTAACCTAAGTAAAAGTATCTCTATTCGTATGTAAGAGATTTAAAACAAAAATTACAACTCGTGTATGTTCGAATATTTCGCGGCGCCTTCCCGGGACGCCGCGGAGCACAGTTTGGGAATCATTGGTGTAAGTCATCTGCACTAGTCTTACATGTTTATTATGGAGTTGTTTCTGGTAAAAACTAAAGGACCCTTTCCACCCTTTCAGGCGTATTAGGCATGCAGGGCTTGACCTATAATTTATAGACCAATCGGTGCTTGGTGGGTCAACATCACGTAGGCCGCTTTTACTTCCTAGGGTTTTAGCTGGTACCCATTTAAGGCTGGATAGACCTAGGAGCCGAGGTCATTTTTGAAATAAGTGAACCTACGACCTCCTATTGCGCAGTCGAACCTCCAGCTGCTACACCGTGGCAGCTTCCTTTGTTTCTCGTACAGACATATAAAATTCACGTGAACACACACATCTCACACACTTGTAAACACACATACATTATATAACACGTGTCTCTTTCTTTAATTGACACATTTAACCTTTACCCACAGAGGACAGTGGATTGCGTCGTTACATTAGGGTGCAACAATACAGATATGTTATACTGGTGATGTCGGCTCTGTGGCTAAGTCGATGCGAACGCTTCGTAATGCCGGAATGCCGGGTTCGATCCCAGCTGCGGGCCATGCGCCTTGCCTTGGTTTCGACAGTGGTATCAAGAAAGCCGACCGTCCAGAGGGAATGGCAAACTACTGGACGTAAATCTGCCTAGAAAAACCACACAACAGCCAGGAGCTGTTGGGGTTGGTTCTGCAACGTCCTGTGTTGTATGGTATGTCGTCAAAAGGCATTCTCTCTCTCTCTCTCTAAGCGGCAAACAATTTGATTTGCTGTCTGTGTATATAATGTTTTCCACGTTAAAATGTTATGGACATGTAATAAGAACTAAGAGACTCTCAAAAACAATACTGCGGGGCTCAGCAGAGGGAAAGAGGAGAAGAGGCAGACCAAGAAAGACCTGGTTACAGAACCAGACTAACTTAAAAGGCTTCAGGCACGCAACCATGAAGTCCATCGCAACTGACCGCTAAATGTGGAGAGAGTTGATCAAACAGTCAACATTAACTGGTGACCCAAAGACACGCAGTGTTACGGGATGATGATGTATGTAATTTAAAACTGGTTCTGTGCCGACGTTTCTTTAATGGACTTATTCCTGAATTTATCTGGACGGATTCAGACTTATGTCAAACACCTTTTATTTCAGTTATCGATTCCTGGGGAAAGCCTGGACCCGGACTACTCAACTTTCAGCTGAAGTTTGTCGGCAGTTACCAGGAGTGTCGCAGTTCCCGCTCACCTGCCAGCAACAACACTGTAACTGACGAATTCACAGGAAACTACTGTGTGGTGACGTTAGCGATAACCAGCCAAAGTGTAAGGAATTAAATTGATAATCATATCCGGTAATCTGGTAATCGCAGTTAAAAATTTCATGACAAACGGGTCACCCCATAGGACAGTGGTTCTCAACATTCCTAATGCCGCGACCCTTTAATACAGCTCCTCATGTTGCAGTGACCCCGACCATAACGTTATTTTCGTTGCTACTTCATAACTTCAGCGAAACCATAGTTGCTCCGTTCCTGTGCCAACGAAAACCATACATAATGACCATAACTTCCCTTAACACAGACTGTAGTCTTATCAAACCCAGCAGCATACACACACACACATTACATGCATAAGGCAGCAGCCAGAAGTGCCAATACAAACAGTCTGACGCTAAATATGCAGATTATCGTTGATAAAAGCTGCAGTTACAATATATCAGTAGTTGCAGACACAATCAATCGCATAAGGCACCACAAGATCATTGATAACAGGCTACCCCTCATTTTCTGAATCTACAGTTCACAACACAAAACTCGTTGGGCATAGTCGAAAAGAATTCCAAAATGAATCCACAGCTCATAGTGTCGCGCCATGCACTCCACGTCTGCAGGCTTGCCGGACAAGGACTAAATCGAGAAATCGAGTCGGATTAAAATAATAATAATAATAATAATAATAATAATAATAACATTTCGGTCTTTTCATTGTAGTTAAAGTATATTCATAGTTGCAAATATGCTGGTTTTAATTATTGTTGCCATTGTGCTGGTTAATTATTGTTGCCATTGTGCTGGTTAATTATTGTTGCCAATGTGCTGGTATTAATTACTGTTGCCAATGTGCTGGTATTAATTACTGTTGCCATTGTGCTGGTTAATTATTGTTGCCATTGTGCTGGTTAATTATTGTTGCCAATGTGCTGGTATTAATTACTGTTGCCAATGTGCTGGTATTAATTACTGTTGCCAATGTGCTGGTTAATTATTGTTGCCAATGTGCAGGTTAGTTATCGTTGTCATTGTGCTGGTTAATCATTGTTGTTTAACTCCAGATCTACCACAAGTTTTACACTCTACCATTTTCAACTCCAGATGTACCACAAGTCTTACACTCTACCTTTTTCAACTCCAGATCTATCACAAGTCTTACACTCTACCATTTTCCAGATCTACCACAAGTCCTACACTCTACCATTTTCCAGATCTACCACAAGTCCTAAACTGACAATTTTCAACTCCAGATCTATCACAAGTCTTACACTCTACCATTATCAACTCCAGATCTACCACAATTCTTACACTCTACCATTTTCAACTCCAGATCTACCAAAAGTCTTACACTCTACCATTTTTTACTTCAGATCTACCAAAAGTCTTACACTCTACCATTTTCAACTACAGATCTATCACAAGTCTTACACTCTACCATTTTCAACTCCAGATCTACCACGAGTCTTACACTCTACCATTTTTAACTCCAGATCTATCACAGGTCTTACACTCTACCATTTTCAACTCCAGATCTATCACAAGTCTTACACTCTACCATTTTCAACTCCAGATCTATCACAGGTCTTACACTCTACCATTTTCAACTCCAGATCTACCACAAGTATTACACTCTACCATTTTCAACTCCAGATCTACCACAAGTTTTACACTCTACCATGTTCAACTCCAAATCTACCACAAGTCTTACACTTACCATTTTTAACTTCAGATCTACCACATACATTATATAACACGCGTCTCTTTCTTTAACATGTACCACATTTAATCTTAAACTGTAAATCTGCCACAAATCATATGCTCTACCATCTTTAACTATAGATCTACCAGAAGTCGTCCACAGTATAATGTTTAACCGTAGATCTTAAGTGAAGATTCTTTTTTATTAGTTTCAGTCTTTTTCATCACGAGAATATCTGCTGTTATTTTTTTTTTTTAGACAGATTCAATTGTCACTTTTTTTCACTCACCATCTTTCTCACTTCACTCTCTTTTTCTCTCCTTAACTCTCTATCTTAAAACTCACGACAGTTTATAGCAATAAATGCTATTCCCGTACAGCCCACGACTTTTTAGTAGCAGTAAATTTTCGTCCCTTGAAAATAACGGCTTTTTGCAGTAATAATTTCACATCCTTTGAAATACAAGACTGTTTTTAGTAGTACATTTCCGTCTCTTTATATCAACTGCACATTTACATACAGTCATCAAGAAGCGTCATTGGAGAAAGCTAGTCTTGAAAGTAAGTCTTAAGTTCCTGGTTCAATACTGTCTTTTTAAATGTAAACCCTTGTCAACTGTTTACAGGCTGGTACCTCGCTACTATCGCTGTTAAGTGGCGCAGGCCCAGAGATTGGAGCATGTCTGCCCAACAGCTGTTCCAATGAAGATGTTAGAAGTCTTATTGGTCGAGGTGAGAAACCTTTCCTGATCAATTTCATCAATATGACATAAGTTCTTTTCAGTTAGATATTATTTCTTTAAATACTCTCTCTCTCTCTCTCTCTCTCTCTCTCTCTCTCTCACACACACACACACACACACACACATAAACACACACACACACACACACACACAGAGTCTATCCGTCTGTCTGTCTCTCTTCATCTTCTCTCCTCTTTCTCGACTAAATGCCTATCTCTACTCTCTCCTCACTCTGTCTCCTTGGACTTCACCCTCATCTTTGTCTTGCTCTCTCTCTCTCTCTCTTTCTCTCTCTCTCTCTCCTCTCTTTTAAGATTATTTCCCTTCTTAATCTTTTTCCAAATCTCTCCCCCCCCCCCCTTCCCATTCTCCCCTCTCGCTCGATCTTTCTCGTTCTCCTGCTCATTGTAGCTGTACCATAAATCGGCTCTTACTAATGAGTAAGCATTGCACAATCAAAGGGGAAACATAAATTAAATAACTTTACACTAGTAACGACCTACTACTGTATAGTTATGTTTCTTGTGGGGGTAGGGAAAAGGGGGTGGGGGGGGGGTGGGTGTTCTCGAAATGAGCGAGTCAGTACGATTCTTATACAGTTGGATTATTTTTGCAAAAGTACAGTTCTATATACAAAATAATCACAGATGCAACAACTATCTCGTGGAGGAAGAGAGAGAGAGAGAGAGAGAGAGTGAATAAGAGAGAAGTAGAGGGAGTAGGAGATGAACGCTGAGGAAGAGGGCGTATGAGCAAAATATAAGAGTGACTGAGAATAGAAACATACCCTTGGCCAGACAGACAGAAATGTAGACGGACAGGCAGACAGACAGACAAAAGACAGATTCCAGATGAGATGTCATGTTAACAAAAAGTACTGGTACTCGGCAGGTCTTGCGGCCGCAAACCTGTCCAGCACTTTGGTTGTCACGGGTGTGGATTGTCGGGACAACTACAGAGAGTACACTGCAGCCTCTATCACTGCCATGTAAGTTGTGTGGTTTGCGTGTGTGCACGTGCCTGTATGCACGTGTGTGTGTGTGTGTGCACGTGCGTTTGTGTCTGCATGCCCGTGTGCGTTTGTGTGTGTATGCATGCCGGTGTGTGTTTATATTAGGGCTGTACCGAATAGTGATTTTCACTATTCGGCCGAATACAAATAGTGGGACGAACTATTCGGCCGAATACGAATACGAATAATGTATCATCACAATCAGGTGCCTTGCCGACTGGCTTGAGCGATCATGCCTCTCCGCAATCTGCCATCTCCTGTATCAGTCCGTGTGCTGACACACCTCCATGCCATGCGACAAGACTGTCAAGCATCTTCTCTCGTTGTCTCCCTCTGTCCCTCCTTCCACAGATCTTTCTAGTGGTCACCACAAATTCTATTTTCCCCTCTTCTCATAACATGGCCCAAAAAAATGATGACTGTGATTAGTTGTCTTCGGGCTCCCGCCTCTTTCAAAACCATCGTTTGCTCTGCCGTTCGTTCGATGTAATTTAAACGCACCTTTATATTCTCGTTAGCAATATCTTCAAATTTGATTTGGGGGAAGACACCCTGAAAGAACAAAAAATGCATGAATTCTCTCTCTCTCTCTCTCTCTCTCTCTCTCTCTCTCTCTCTCTCTCTCTCTCTCTCTCTCTCTCTCTCTCTCTCTCTCTCTCTCTCTATCTATCTATCTATCTAACTATCTATTTTTCTGTCTGTCTGTCTGTCTGTCTGTCTGTCTGTCTGTCTATCTCCCTGTCTCTCTCTCTCTCACAGAGACACACTCACACACACACACACACACACACACACACAAGCGACAACAACAACAAAAAAGAACTCATTGCCTTTAATTATAAGTTCTTACTTGACGAGGCTAAGTTACTATTGTAAAGACTACATTTTCCACTTTAAAATTTCAGCTAAAATGTAATCACAACCTTACTTATCCGCTGCACCTTCACGAACACAGATGGAGGATCGGTCGCACCTCGAGATAAATACAAAGACAATTTTTAGCATGCTGCGGTTGGCATTTTATGCAGTATGAAAAACTTTGAGAGCGAAACAGGGAGGAAACACTCTTTTTGACAGTGGCGAGGAAAGAGAATTTAAATTTAAGTATCTTCATGCCTTCTTTAATAATGTCACAAGTTATAGCCGACTTTTCTAGATTTTCACCGCCGCAGCCCTGGCGTACGCACCCAGTTTGATAACCTCTGCTGTAATGCCTCGATTAAGTCAGCAGGCAAAGACCGTGAGAGCTTAGGTACCACGCAACCGGGTCGCAGTTTTCCCGCTACGACAAACTTAGGCATCAGCAACTATTGTTTTAAATAGTTTTTTTCAGTCCATCGCAGTGTATGCAGAAACGGGTGTAACCACAATTCATATTCGGTCCGACCGCAACTATTCGGCCGAATACCGAATAGTTATTAGGTCCACTATTCGGCCCCGAAGCGAATACGAAGCGAATATTCGGTACAGCCCTAGTTTATATGTGTAACTGCGTTTTTGTGTTTTTCTATACGTAAGGTTAGATGAAATTATACAGCTTGTCAGCTAGGCGAAAGTCCTTTGCAGGACCAATCCCTGCAATACTAGCTGCTTTATTGTTTTTTTAACGCAAATTTACATTCAGTAGTTTGTCACTGATTACTGGTAGGCTCTCAATATCACCGCCGAAGCCAGGCGGCCTGCTGTCAAATCGTCTGCAGCTGGAATTGAACCCGACATCTTGGAATTACCAAGCGGGTTCGCAACGCCCAACACAAAGACGTCATATAACTTGTATGGGAATTTTTAATTTTTTTGCCAACATCCGAATTGTGTGTGTGTGTGTGTGTGCAAGCAGTACCATTTTTTTTATTTGTGTGTGGTGTAGTGTGTGGATGTGTGCGAGTGTGCGTGCATATGTTTGTGTCTGTGTGTCTGTGTGTTTCTCTCTCTCTCTCTCTCTCTCTCTCTCTCTCTCTCTGTGTGTGTGTGTGTGTGTGTGTGTGTGTGTGTGTGTGTGTGTGTGTGTGTGTGTGTGTGTGGGAAAAGTTATCCAAAGAAAACACCTAAAGGTATCACATTTTCAA